GGCCTGGCTTGACGATCGTTTGTGTGTCTCTTGTCTTCATTTACTTTTAAAAAGCGATACATATCTATATACTTTAGAAATAACACTTATCGATGTTTTATTATCTGTCTTATAAAGTATATGTTTCAATTCTTTCAGATTGTTATGACAGCAGAAAGGTGGGCGCATCACGGTCAACTGAAAGCAATACCGACGTGATAATGCGACAGGCCATTAGTGAGCTGTAAGCAAGCCCCCGGCATTTAGCATCATGGTTTGGGAGTTGTTCACAACGACCACCAGGCTCTTCATTCAATATTGATGTATTTGTTTGAGTAATGGTAAAACATAGCAACTTCGCTGTGTTTGGACCTTATAGTTCTAGTTTCCCTTTTCTATACATGGTTCCTGCAAATAGACACACAGACACTGTGTTACGACATATGACATGATTTTTGTAATTCTCAATATATTGGACGTTACACATTGTATTACGTAAATGAAACGTTTAGTCAAATGACAGTCCAGTGGCCATCTCTCGTCACAGTGGAGCGCAATAGTACAGTGGTTAATGCGCTGAAGGCCCGGGTTCGATCCCCGGTGGAGGCACCTAGGTTCGGGTCCTGAAGTTGGTACATTTGCGAAGTATCCTTGGACAAGATACTTAGAACCACATTGTCTCAGTTCACCCAGCTGTAAAATGTTTACACGGAGGATGTGCTGGCAAGGTGAGCGATTAAAATTTAGTTCAATGCGCCAAACAGGCAGCATGGCTGAATGATCCCCAGGGAGTTGAAAAAGTATCGGAGAGTACGATGGTGTCCTATGTCCGATGTACCTAGCTCCGTGAGCAGGTAATATGCTTGGATATGAGCGCCATATAAACGGACTATTACTATTACTTTATGATGACACGTGTCAACCATTTCAGCGAGGCGCAATAAAACGTTCAGGGTTAGGTTTGTAATGACACTTAAGTTAATGTACAGGACAGTTAGCCTTTGTAAAGAGCATCTTGATGATGGATAAACACCAGACTGACTGAGTTTAGTTTTACGCCGCTTTTAGCAATATTCCAGCAACATCACGGCGGGGAACACCAGAAATTGGCTTCACACATTGTTCCCATGTGGGGATTCGAACCCGGGTCTTCGGCGTGACGAGCCAACGCTTCAACCACTAGGCTACCCCACCGCCCCGATAAACACCAGAAGGAGGTAACATGTTTTAGAATAGAACACATCGTGGTCTGACCAGGTAAGTTCACTCAGTCTGTTATCAAGCGATGAGAAAGTTCCTCTGCCAAGACGCAACTCCGTTTAATGCTTTTGTCCGTATTTATTACCGAATGTAAGCAGTTTCACAAGCAACTCGGTGAAGTGCAAAGATGTTTGGTCACATCGGCGGTATTTCAGCCATATTTCAGCGTATCATGACAAAAACAAGTCATACATATGTAGACAGGTGTACTATTGATCATTGATCCATTGGTATATTTCATCATGGATGGACTACTGCAACTGTCTACTCTATAGTCTGCCTCAATCCTCAATAGGAAAGCTCCAACGCGTACATAATTTACAGACATACTCTCACATAACTCCTGTTCTGCAGAGATTACACCTGCTTCCCATATCAGATGGAATCCAATACAAACTCAACCTTCATGTTTTCAAGTGTCTCACTAACCTAGCTCCAAAGTAACTATCTGACGTGATCACCAGATATCAGCTCAACCGAAGTCTCCGATCTGAAAATCTTGGTCTTCTTGTTGTCCCACACTTTAGGTCCAGTACCAGGTTTGGGGATCAATCATTTCAGGTGGCAGGACCCATTCTCTGGAATCAACTTCCACTTGAGTCATGGACAATTAACAACCTGAAGACTGCAGACATACCTTTTTATGAAAACACACAGTGTCTAACTTTTCATTCTTGAGTTGTTCGGAGAGCGCAACTGAGCAGTACTTTTGGACCGGAATTGGCGCTATATAAATGTTTTTATGATGATGATTATTCATTTTAGCATTTGCGAATCCTTAACTGTAATATCATGTTAGTAAAGTTTATTCTGAATCCCATTCCGCATCACAATCCCACTTTATATTAATGTTTCGTTTTTAATCTACTATTCAACGTTTTCTAGCAACCATTCAGTTCGTCTGCTTTTCACTGCAATTAGCTGTCCCATATAACCTGTCAAACATAGTAAGTATCTTAGCCAATTGATTATATTTTCATTGTTTGTAAAGCATAGGTGTATGACCACTTTGTCTTCTTGATTTGATAGTTTAACCTATTTGGTGAGGTGAGATGAGATGAAATTGGGTTTAACGTCGTACTTGAGAATATTTCGACGACGTGCATGTGTGTGTGTGTGCGGCTGCTTGTACTAGCCCAGACTTAAGCTGGTTTTATTGTGCTGGCCCACTGAGATACCATGCCGCAGTGAAGCATGAATATCCCACTCAGACACATTATACTGACTCCGAGCCGACCAGTCCTTGTTGTACCCATTAATGCCGAGCGCCAGGCAGGGACCAACAAGTACCATATGATAACGTCTTTTGGTATGACGCTGTCGGGGATCGAACCCCCGGCCTTCCGCTCTCCGGGCGGACGCTCTAACCACTACACCACGGAGGAGGCCGATATTGCATTGAAGGAAGATATAATAGATCAGTACAATTAATCTAGACTAGGTAGACCTTGATAATGACAGTTTCTACTGCTGCGTATCCGGTAAACGAAGTGCGCAGTATTGTAGGTCAGGGGTCACGAGGCAATTGCACGCTGTTGACGATTTTGATGTTTTAAGTGAGTGAGTGAGTGAGTTTAGTTCTACGCCGCTTTTAGAAATATTCCAGCATTATCACGGCGGGGAACACCAGAAATGGGCTTCACACATTGTACCAATGTGGGGAATTGAACCCGGGTTTTCGGCGAGACGAGCCAACGCTTTAACCACTACCCCACCGCCCTGAGGTTTTAAGTAATAACAAGCATTATTGTGACTGGATTAACATGTAATTAACAAGTACATATTTCTTTTCACAAAAGTTTCAGTAAATAGCCATTGTGCAGTTTGGAAGTTATTGGTCACAACTTTCAAGAAGTGTGACGATCCCAGAGGTCAAAGGTCATTGTTTACATCGGTTATGCTGTTTAAATACTATCTAATCTTATCAAACCTGGTTAAGCCCTTGTTTTGGGCCATATTACATCATACTATTGTATTATTATGAAGGTTATTAGGAGTTACAATGGTGATAGATTATGTCAATTTTTGTATTACATGTGCAGTGATATGATAGGCTAAACATGACTAGGAATTACATTTTTCTGAGTGTTTGGTGCCCAAGTGGTGAACATGTTTCAGTGCGTGTTATTGGTATTGTTAGTGGTGATAATTGACAGTAATTATTGAAATAAAAGGTGCAGCAGCAATGTGATAGGATTAATATTGATAAATTGAATATTATGCCTAGTGTATATTCCGACAGTTTGTCTGTTTGTTGTTAGTACTTGTCTCAATTGTGTTGTGTTGCAGGGCAAATATTGTATACAGTCAAGAGAACTGACGCCCGTTACCCATACCAATTAAAATCATGAAATTCAAGTTCGTGTTGGTCCTGTCTACAAATACATGACACATAAAGCTTGATCATAAAAAAGCACTGTTGACAAGGACAGCAACATCACAGATATTGATGTACAACACGCTTGTAACCATGGCACTGTAGATCACCATACCACGGTTCTTGGTGGTTTACGTGTGCTACCTGTATGTACCCTGTCTGGATTTACACCATCCCTTCAGGTGAAGGCAACTCAATCATTAGTCATTACTTAAAACTAATAAATGAGCAAATAACCCTCAGGAGGTTTGAATCAGTTATCGCAAAATCAAGATTAGAATAGGCACCAGTATCCCCATGTCGATAAGTGTGTGAACCATCGTTATAAATGCATAATGCATTATTTAGGAAGGGAATCTTCATTGCTTTATTGATTCTGCGTACACTACCACAAAGTAGGTTATTACCATTAATTTAACCAGTGGTTATCCAGGGACTGGAAAGCTGGTCGTTGAGTGCTTGAAAACCAGCCTTTTAAAGAGAAGACTTTAACATTCGACCTGATTTCATGGAACTGGTGAACTAGAAATGTTCATGCCATAACAGGTTCCACGGGAGATCTATTTCTGCCGTTGCTTATTCCTTTCCATGGGAAAGAGGAGGGACATCCATGTCCTGTAAGGTTTGAAACTGATCAATACAGGATCACGCTCAACCTTTGGTATGCGGTCTGAGTGGTGTGGTTTTGGTGCCAATGGCGTTTCCCTTGATGACATTGATACACCTGATGGATCCTCCGGTTTCGATCAAGAAGACCTGGGGCCCGTTTCACAAAGCCCTCTTACCGGTACGACCTCGTAAAGCAGGTCGTAGACCACCTCTTACTTTTTCACCCCGTTTCACAAAGACCTCGTATATTTACACTGTGCCGTAAACAGCCCAAAATTTAGGACCCCGATTGACCTGTCGTAAATGCTTTAGGGGGTCGTAAACACTACAAAGATGGCGTCAACGATTGTGCTACTGCAAGTGATTAAAACGCGCAAACAAAGAAGACCTAGAATGTTATCCATCCTAGACAGATCGAACGTGCTCGACACTTTGGATGATGTTGACATGATGTCGAGATATAGATTTGCTCGGCATGTTATTTTCGAACTGTGCACAATGTTAGAGCCCCACCTGAACAAACCTACACGGCGTTCACATGCTATTCCGACCTCCCTGCAAGTGTTGTGTACACTGAGGTATTTGGCAAAAGGGGCTTTCCTCAGTGAAATCGGGGATCTCCATGGAGCTAGTGTGTCAAGAATACTCCGCGACACCACTTAGTCTAGTGCTCTGGCCGAGTCTCTGGACCTGATTAAATTCCCCACCTAAACGCGATCGGTCATGGAAGAATTCCATGACATATGCGGGTTTCCCCGTGTAATAGGATGTGTCGATGGCATCCTGTATCCCCATACAGGCCCCAAAGAAGGATGAAGTGGCGTATATGAGCAGAAAGGGATATCACTGCATCAACGTGCAAGCAGTGTGCGACGCCAAAATGAGGTATGTTTACTTCCTTGTGACCTTCATCTTTCCGTTTCCTGCATGGTTCGTTTCGTACCGACAATAATTTCGTATTATTGTTATATTACATGAAATCTAAGTCGTACTCGAGAAAACTGATCGCATAGCTATTTTCAAGTGATAAACTTACAATGAAATTCCGACAAAAGATAACATTTACAAAGTTGCTGTTCCGCTTAACGTCCTGACACGAACACAAAACCAATATTTCCTGTCATGACATAGGTTGCTGTGATCTGCATGCATATCAATTTTGTATCAATTGTGCAAATATTCCATAGATTAAAATGATTTCTTCATTTTTATTTATCAGCATGTTAAAAACATTTGTTAATTAAAGATTCACCAACACTGTCATCCTGTGGCCTGGATCAACCCATGACTCACATATATTCAACAACTCAGAAATAAGGAATTTCCTGGAGGAATCTAAACAGAAGGGGTGGTTGCTTGGTGTCTCAGGGTAGGTAATAATTCGTTCTAGGTTTTGTCAATACGAAAAATCAATTGTTTGAAGTATTAAATTGAATTTTACATTTCAATTGGATAAATTCCAAATATATACATCAGTTGCTATTCTATCTTTTTAAAATCACCATATCCCCTGTCTTTGTTTTGTGAGTTTGATTTTGCTGATATGGTATGCTTAAGGCTATGCTGTGTGTTTGGGTTCTCATATATGGTGTGCTCAATAACTCTTTTGTGTTTTTAAATATAATATTTATGTTTCACAGGTATGCCTGTAAGTCATATCTGCTCACACCACTGCCATCTCCTAATACAGCCAGTGAGGAGAGGTACAAGAAAGCTCACTGTGGGACCCGTAGTGTTATAGGGAGGGCCTTTGGAGTTTGTAAATCCAGATTCAGGTGCTTGATTTTACAACAAAACAATTATCCATTAGAAACAATTAAGTTGTCTCTTTGCAAATACAGTAGCATACTTGATTGCTTTGAATAGTACTTTTTCTATGTTAAATAACTATGTATTATATAGCATTGATTTGTTTACATTTTCAAAGAGCTGCAATGACAAATAAAATAAATCATGAAATCAATATGTTTTTTGCTAATTGCCTTTTTAGCAGTTTGCAAAGTTATACATGATGTACAGAGTGATTGCATAATCATGTAATTCATATCACACATATCATCTATGCCTAGTTGCCTTGATTAATTACATGTACTGTATATATCTGAGTATTTAATAGCATAACACAAATACATTGTAGTATCTGTAAAATGTTGTTTATGGATTTTAACTGGTTTGACACTGGATAAGTTATTTAGCTTCTGAGCATGTTTGTTACAGGTGCCTCCACAGGTCCAGTGGCTGCTTACTGTTCCAGCCTGAGCGATGCATTAATGTGATAGCTGCCTGCTTCCAGCTACATAACATCCCTATCAGCCTGAAGCTGCCCCAACCCACTGAGCCACTACCCCAAGAGGACTGTGAGGGAGACAGAGAAGACAACAATCACTGTGCTACACATGGTGGCCAGGCTGTCATGAGACACCTTATCGAATCACGATTCTCTAGTAAGTAATATTCTAGTGGAAGACTCTCTATAGATTATCACGATGAGGTCTGTTCCACTTAACCTCTAGTTTATATCATTTTCTCGTGTTACTTGTCACTGATTTTAAAACATTTGGTTCTGTCTTACAAGGTTTATTATCACTTAATGAAATTATAAGACATAACAACACAATAATCAGTTTGAGATAGTGACTTTATGTATTCACGAGATCAATCAATATAAATTGTAAATCTTCCACAAGAATTACTGTGCAACAAGCAAATAAATATGTAATTAGCTTGGAGATAGTGCTTAGGGTCTGTATGCAAGTTGTAATACAAATATATAGATACATATTTACAGAACTCTTTTAGACTTATTTTTTCTAATTCTCTCTAGTACAGACATTTTCATTGTATTTTTTGACTCATTACAGCAGGATTCTAAAGTTTAATTCATATGCCAATGTAAATATAAACTTCAAATGGAAAGTGACCTTATCGTGGAGTATAAGAATTTATTAACCGTGGATTAGCTAATATTTAAGAAGATTGCATTTGACAAAAATAACAAAAAAAATCCAGATCCTGTGATATAAAAACATACAAACAATAGTGAAAAATGTACATGTACCTGACAAAATAATTCCCTCAATCAAATGTAATTATTGAAGAGAGACAGTACTCTTTTGATCTTTATACTCAAATTTCGTTCAACGTTCTCTCTGAATTGCTGTTAGAAGTTGCAACTGACCAAGGATGTCCTCGAAGATTTTAATCTTTCTTTCCTCATTTTGTGACAGAGTTTTGTACATGTCACTTGTAGACTCTGAAGAAAAGAAATCAAATATTTATTGCAAACATTTCATATTAAAAACCAGTGTTATCCATCCAGATTAAATACTACATCATCTAAATATAGAATCAATTTGTAGATATTCTTCTTTCCTGACTATGTCTGACATTTTATCATATTCATGTCAATGTATGGCAATAATAGAAGTATGGTTACCGTCAATCACAGTTACTGGTCTTTTCTTGGATCCTCTTGCTTTCCCAATCACTAAACAATGGAAATATGAGTTACTCTGAAGGTTGAGATTAATTTTCATGAACCAATGGTGCACATCACATTGTCTTTACATATATGACTCACTTTTAACTTGTTAAATTGTTAAATGTACATGATAATACCAGCCAACAGAACAGTTTGATTTTTCAAAAACTTTCTCTTCCGAAAATAATTATAACTGAGTGGTACAAGTTGTGATCATACGTATTTCATGTATAATAAAAACTTAATTTGTTACCTGACGCCTTGATTTTTTCCTTGATTTCAGATGATTGTGGTGTTGCATAAGGGGTGAAGAAATCCTCATTATCTGAATATGAAATTTAGAATTAAACAATGAATTTTCAGTCTAGCTATCTGAATTCACATACATGAAATTTAAAATTTGGAAATAATCAAAGGTAGAATACATTTAAAAAGGTTATACTTTGAATAAAATTATATTTCAAAATAATTGACTCACTCTACCTTTCAATCTACAGTTGCCAATACATGTATGAATGTCATGTCCTTTAATCATCGCTTTTGCTGAGAGTTCATTACCATCACTGTCTTTGCTGCAGCCAGGTGTTGGCTCTGCCTCACAGGCCAGGGTAGGTTCAGTTGGTGTGTACTCTTCCATTGCTGACACTGCAACTACAGTACCGGTATTTCAAAGATAAATATATGTATATGAGCTTTATCTCCATAAAATTATATTAATCGATGGATTTCCTAACAAATAAGGGTATAATAATTACATTGAATTTAATCAAAATATCCCTACCATTTTGTCAATCTCTCCTGAGTGGTCCGTCAGTAAATGTCAAAGTGACTAGTACAACCAATTTTACATTTTGAGAAACTCAATGTTTTGTGTGTTTTTTGGTTTTGATTGCTTTTTTAAAAAATTACTTTGTATGACATTTTATAGATGATTATTCAAATATACCCACTAGGTGTTTCCTTGCCACCCTGAATCCCCTCAATAAGGCAGGATGGGATCAACTGCAGAACCTCTACCAATTTCAAATTTTTCAAACAAATGACATTCACTTATAATTGCATATATTTAGCAATACCTTAATTAGGCATGTGCTTACGTCGCAAAAAATATGTCTTCATATACTCTATTTTCTAAGGAAGACAACTCCTCTGGTGGTGGGCCTCCGCCTGTTTTGTCATGCTGCCCCTCCTCACCGCCTCAGCCTTTTTTGTTTGCCCCTTTAAGTCTGTCCACTTCACTCTGTGAATTTTAATGATTTAATACACAGAATTAATATCGAGATAATTTTCATTTTTGCCATGTTGAAATTTAATTTCGGTTTAAGGTAAACTGAGTAATTTCGGCATATAATGATACCTTGCTTGAGAAATGCCGCTTGATATCTTGGTAACGCTTCAAAGTTCGCCAAGTGCGGTGCGTAAAATCTCTTACTTGTTTGTGATGTCCGTCCAACCTTTTTTCTTCAGGTTGTTTGTGATTGTGTTGGTCAGTGTCAAAGTGAGGATATTTGTATTGGCCTAAATGCAAGAAATCATGACGTCTAATTCTGTGGATGAGAAGTTTGGTTTCTTCATTTTCTTCTTTGAATCCACTTTCCAGTAGCGTATCGTCTGCGGGTGATACTAAGGGAAGTAACTCGTACTTCACAGCGATGATAGTTTTTTTTCTCGCACCTATCGCTAGTTCGAATCCGTCATATTTTTCATTTTATTTTATATTGTAATTTTCAATCGAATTAAGCCAGTGAATCCAAATTCTTCGATTGATTTTTGTACGATAAGATAACCTTTACTTTCAATTACAAAATAATTCAAACTGTATTTTGAAATACTTTGGGAATAAAAAGATAAGCAGGTGCCTGTTCGGTCTCGCTTTATTCGTTGCTATGCAACACAGTACCTCTTATACAATGTACGACAGGGATTTAGGACCCCCTCGCACGCCCTGGATACGACGTCTTTGTGAAACGGTCGTAAGGAGGTCGGAAGAGGGTCGTAAACAAGGTCGTATGGGCTACGACCTCCTAAATTTAGGAGGCTTTTGTGAAACGCTGGCCTGCACGATAGGTGTAGCTTGGGTTTGACCAGTTAATAAAACTGAAGTGGAGGACCCAAACCGCCTGTATTCGGCCTCGCAACCTACTGAATGGCACAGATATATAGAAAAGATAACTATTACTGTTGGAGCAAACCCGTGAACGGGATCGGGTGGTCAGGCTCGCTGGCTTGGTTGACACATGTCATCGGTTCCCAATTGCGCAGGTCGATGTTCATGCTGTTGATCACTGGATTGTCTGGTCCAGATTCGATTATTACAGACCGCCGCCATAAAGCTGAAATATTGCTGAGTGCGGCGTAAAACTGAACTCACTCACTCACTACTGTTGGAGCTGAGGCAGACGCAGCAGCTGCATAAGATGGACCTGGTTTCTCATGAGGCAGAACAGATATCTTTGCTTCGAAAACAAGGTGATGGTCAGGTCAGGTTTGATCTCATACTGGAGACCCCATTAGGTTATTCTCTGTAACCCGAGGGGTGATTTCTGGAGCAGTGTACACGTGCAGGATCCATTTCAATGTCACATATGTTCTCGTCACGATATGGCTGAAATATTGCCGATGTGACGTTAAATAATAACTCACTCACTCACACATGCAGGAGGTTTAACATCAAGTTTGCTATCTTCACATGTGCCACCACACCGATGACAGGCAGTTGGATAGTAGCATTATTTTTGACAACGTATTTTATGGATTGACAACTTCTTTAATATTTACAACATGACGTTTCTGGACTACTGCTTGCCCCTTCATCAGGTGAATGACAGAATATGATTACGAGCAATATATACAGTATGTACAGGACGCCAGTGACATGGAATTACAGATTGAGATCAAGGAGATTAAGTGATATGTTTTGATTGAGATGAACAGAGTTCAAAGAGATTGTGCATTTCTGTCCAAGTCTGGTTTCCATCTACATGGTTATCGAATGGACACTGGTCGCTGTGTAACATCAGATTGAATTCAAGTCATCGTAATTTCGGCCTGACAAACGTTGAAGAGTGTACCGTCCTGTGTACTTCAATGGTGTAAGTTTTGTAACAACATTTTTGTCTTATTAACGATTTCTATTAAATGCCATTTGTAGGGTACATTTAGTTATATTTAGTATTGGAGTACACCTGTAATGCGTATATTAAATAACCCATGAAGATCCGGGTTAGTATGGGTATTCACCAACCCAGGTTTGTCGTAAGAGGTGACTAACGGGATCGGGTGGTCAGGCTCGCTGACTTGGTTGACACATTTCATCGTATCCCAGTTGCTTAGATTGATGCTCATGATGTTGATCATAAGACTGTCTGGTCCAGACTCGATTATGACTGCAGCCATATATTGGTAAGTGCAGCTTTTAACAACAACCCAAGCAAGCAACGTATATTGAAGAGTCACAGGCTTGTTCTGGATTCAGCTTGGCTATATCCTCTTTAAGTTGTTTGTTCTCAGCACCTAGAGCCAGCATATCTAACATTTCGGGCAGGCTTGGGGAATGGAATAAAGGTAAATCCACTAGCAAGTCGTTCCGGGTACCGTGTGTCCGAATTGCAGGTACCCCACCATGTTCGAAAAATGGACTGCAAACGTTGATTTTTTTTTTTAAAGTCCACCAGACCCCTGTTGTCGGACAAAATGGTGGTCAGCTGTCAGCTGACTGCGGATTGAATAATTTGACGTTCCTCATTGGTCAGGTCATTTGTTTGAATGACAGGTGGCGATACGTTAATTATATGTTACACAGCTTCTACAAGCGGATTTCAATGTTTCCATGCTACGTCTCCAATTGTAAAAAATCATCATTTTGAAGAGAAATTTGTCCCAGATGTAGGGCTCAGTATAGTTGCCATCGAAGGCACTCGTCGGCACGTTTTGTCCTCAATGTGCACAGAAGTTACTGGACAGAGAGTAGG